GACAAATTTATGTGAATGTTATACAGTTTGAACGGCTTTCTAATATCGTTTTTCTTTTTTCACAGTTTTTGATAAGTGGTAAATCATTAAATGGGTTATTGTGACTATATGAAATTTAGGTCAGGTTATTTTAGGCTGGTTGCTACTACCAAACTTAAGTCATCTGTAACTTGAGCTAAATTTACCATTTAAGTCACATTGCTACATAAACTTCTAGATTTCGTAGAGACTGGAGAAATAAAGCCAATCTTTATGCAGGTTTGTTAGATTGAAATTTTACACTATATGTACTTTATAGTATGATAGATGTTCTACCCGAGGGTATAGAATTTGGTTCAGAACCGAGAGTTTGCCAAGGTTCTCAACTCAAATTCAATACGAAATGGACAACTCATAAACTTCGGGTGTACATAAACTCTCCATTATTACCTAGATTTTACACTCCCGGGTAGAATATCTTTATCACGTCCTGGGAAATTATCTCACCTAATCGAGTTATTCTACCATTCACAGAGAAGAACAAACGATGAATTGGTAGCATGACCTGCTTTTGCTTACAAAACATCGGATACATAAGGGTTAGAATGTCATTTGAAAAGAGGATAACAGTGCCTAAATAGATGGTGATACCGTTTGACAAACACAGCTATTTGTCAACTAACACAAACCACACCGTAAATGCAGAAGATAATCGTTATCTTTCACAATACGAATTATACATCTCTATAGTGACAGGCATCACTTACTTCCTCACACATTCTTTTATACTTCATCATAAAGCTAACGTCGTTTCTTTCAGACTACATTTTCATGATGAAAGGAAGCACCTGTGTATCCATACCCAGACACGATGCCAGAGAAATGTCCAAATCCTGATTTTAGATTTAAGTCGCACTTGTTTCCTGCATAACCATCAAATCTTGATCACCTAAGATATCCGTCATCTCTCTATCTAAGTAAACCTTTTACATAAAGATGCAATGCTGAGTTGTGAGTATGACTTATTTTATAAGAACAGATTTAAGCCAATCTGAAACAGACAAGGCTGGCGTAATGCACTTTAAATATGGAAAGCTGCAGCAGTCATAACAGGCATTTACTGAGATCAGTTCAGCGCGAATAACAGCATTAGTCTTTAAAATAAGCGTGCTTAAATTTCTAAAATAATACACTCCGTCACAAATACACTTCTCCTTTTTTACAGACTATTTCAAAATGAGCTGAATCTGGTTTTAATATGAAATAGAAAAAAAATAAAATAAACGCCAAGTGTGCATGACTGCTGTGTTCCGATATCCATCCTTGAAACTATAACGAAATATATATCAAGGCAAGAAGATTTAAAACTCAATTCTTCAAACTCATACATCATACATACATACATTATGCGTCTACCATTGCACCAGAATTAACATTAATGTAGCGTTATAAAAGGAAAACCGCGGCTGCGATAAAGAAATAACATATATCGATGTGACGACTACCAGAGAGCCTTGCATGTATCTAAACATCAGATTTCATCAAAAATCATATCATTTTTTTATTTTAATTAGTTTGTTATTTGAAACTGTTTGATGAGGTAATTAATTCTAAAGGTTTTACTTACATGTATCAAAAAAGGAAAACAAGGTAAGTGAAAAACACTACCTTTGTATATACGTATATATAATACCTAACTATAGATCTCATTTAGCATATGTCTCTATGTTATCTAGAGCCATATATGTATAAATACGGGTGTCTTTAACAAATGGTACTAGCAGAAGAAATAACAGTGGCAGGCACGCGGGAAAAAGATTGCGTGTGTTGCAATGGCGTGGGTGGAATAAATAAAATTTGGTCTTTTCAATATCCAATTAGAACACAGCGAAAAAAATTGATGGTGAAGTGACCTCATGGTTAGTTGCCCCTTCCAATATACAATGATATGCATCAGAAATCCCCCTGTCTTCCTCATCCATAGGAGTTTCACTCAATTATATTTATTGAAATAAATAATTCATATCTAGCATCGATCAGCAGGAAACCATGAGTCCTTTACGTTAATTTTTAAACTTAAAATTCTTGTAAGTAAATATTTTCGATGTGTACATCACCAGATGTATGTGCCAAAAAGTGAGTCATATTTGACAAGACTGGTTGCCTGTACGAGTATGACAACTTGACCTGCTAGTCACAAACCAAATGGATATCGTTGTAAAATCTATTATAAAGAAAATCCCTCTGATACAATTACTGTTGTGTTTCTTTCGTTTGATGGTGTTGCTTTACTGTAAATACAAATTTAAGGATTGCCATATTGTATTTCTAAATAACTTCAACGAAAATCAATACATGTATTTCCAAGATGTTGCAATAATATAGCCATACCCTTTATCGAAAGTACGACACAGAAAGGTCATTCGAACCTTTTATGTATAAAAGGAAGTTTTACTTTCAAGTGTTGTAATGTTACAGTGTGTATGCATTACATTTGCTTTTCGGGAAAAATATGTCTGAACCATTTGAATCACGATAGAGAGAAACAATTTCTTGGTATTGAGTTGGAATAAAACACTTTCACATAATATTTGGGCCTGCAGTGTTTCCGTAGTTAGTATTCCGTGGATAACATGTAGCTTAACCAGCGAACAAGTAGCATGCACAGGTGTTGACGCTATATAACCCCTGAGAGCAGTACCTGGATGATAGAAATTGTTTACCAACAACCCTCTCCCTTGACTTTTTTATTACTATCATTGTTATTTTGTTACCACAAGGATAATATTGATACAACTCTCATAACACTGTTAAGATATTGTAACCCATGAAAGTCCTCAAGTGGGTCTCTTGGTCAATGGTCAAAATGGTACGGGGAAAAGGTTTTAAGTATGAGACCAATAAGTCCATAGGTCCCAGACTTTGACTATCGTATCGTATAAACATGCACCCATAGCCATCTGTAACTCTCCTAGAAACGGCAAGGAACAAGCAAAATACCGCAATCATGGTCTGTGCTATTGAATGAGATAATGGTTAAACCAATAGTTGTCGTCGGGTGCAAACCCGAGAACGTTTTTAAACACTAGAGGTAAACTTCAGTTTAGAAACACCCGACAACATAGAATATTTTAAGCTGCTGACGGCAATGTGCACTGCAACAAACTCGCTAAAAGTTCTGCATCGTTTATTTGAGTTGAACAACATTTTAAACACTACTTAGCCAAACCGTTCAAAGCATTAGCATAACTCCGGTAACTGATCACGGTCTTCATCTATAAATTTCGTGCGAACTGTGTTGTTTAAACTTCACCCTTTACCGGCCGTGTCAAGCCAATGTGGGTTATTTGTCAACCCGGACTTGTCGTATCCGGTACTGCCTTCCACAGAACGATTCAGGAAATAAACATATCTAAATGCGGTCCAACAATGTACTTTTAACTTAATAACTAGTGATTAGGGGTACGGGGTAGGGACTCTTCAATTAACTAAGACTTAAACGTCGGAAGACAAGGATGAGAAATATAATTAGAGAACAGTCCAATGAATGAAACAGATTTTAAAAAGTGGCTAGTGGATTCTTCTGCGTTATAGAAATCAATGGATTCGTTCATGACAATTACCAAAATCTTGCGTCAAGTCTAAAATCAATTAATGCCATTATCAATTCTCTTTTCCGGCCGAATAAAGGCGTATCAAGAAAAAGTACAGATTCTACAAATTAGTCGGGTCTTCTTTACTGTATCTGCTAAATATCGCTGTAGCACAAGGCTGAAGTGTTTCAACATTTTTTACGTTGATTAATTATATAACTAATATCATCATGTTTTGATAAAAATAGAGGAAACAAGTAGCAGATCGCATTACAGCAGTGGGCGTGGCGTATGCAGCTTTGTCGCTCCGTTCCGACCTTGAAATGCGCAGCCTGTAACAACGTCACAATATTTACCCCGAAAGTATTCCCGAAATAATAACGAGGGTTTAGTCACCATATTTGTACTTAACTATCCCCACCCCCCTCCCATCCCTCAACCCCCACTCATCCCCACCCCCTGTTTTTAAAGAGATTCATTCAGAAGATTGTTTTTGCTGAATGCTAGACACATGAATGTTAAATTCTATTATTTTCTGTTTCTATAAACGGTTTATTAGACTTCTGTGTTTATTAGATTTTCATTTCCAAGATTCATTCAATATTTTCAAAATCCCATTATTGATAACTGAAGGATCGGTACACTCAACGAGATAACATCTGATGTTAATACCATTGTGGTGCAATTCAAAGCACCAATTCAACTCACTGATAGTTTCCAGTAGAACTGTTGTCGGGTATGGAAAATCTCTCTGAATACAATTTGTTTGTTAGCTTTATTGATGTAATTTAATTTATGTAGAATTATCTTACTTAATAAGATTTAACAAACGGTATCGCTCTAAAGAAAAAGAACAACCCATATTCATATTTCATCAGAAGAAAAATAAAAATGCGAATTATCAGTCTTAACGATGTGTTATAATATTTTTTTCGCTTGCAATACGGGAAGTATGCACCTTGTTAACCAGTATGGACTCTAATAATTGCAATAAAGGCAAATGATAAATTATAACATTGAAAAATTCGGACAGTACCGGTATCTGAACGTTAGAAAATGTGGTATTGTCTAAGGCATTGTCTGTTATGTTAGATGTAGAAAACATTTACGACATGTATACGGGTAGGAGACATATCTAGTACAATGTATTCGAGTCCGACCCTTTTCAAAGTGTCTCAGCGGCCAGAATATTGTAGTTTAAAACGAAATCTATATCTGTAGAAATTCCAGGGAGGCGTTTTTGTTCATCGAATTTTTTTTTATATTGCAAATCATTGTAGTACTGGTTTTACCTCCATACTACAGCACTACTAGGCTAGTACTGCTTAATACAACACCACTCATAAGGAGGAAGTAAATCAACAGTCGATTGAGAGATCTTTGTGTATGTGGTAGGAGTAAAACAGGTATAAAACACGTTAAACTTACCTGTAAAAAACGCAGCGAACAAGTGAACGAATGACCCAACGTGTAAAATCCAACAAAGTGACAAAAGGCAGTAGACACGGCCCAAGATGGCTCTGATCACAACAAATACTTCCATATATTCCATGTTTATGGTGATAGCGCTAGTTAACGAGCCTTTCCTGCCATTAGAGCGTAACGTATATCCGAGACAAAAGACAATGTAAATAAGTACAACAAAATCTGTGGTAATTCACTGTTTTAGAGAATTAAGTCCAGCACATATGCGACACATTAAGTAATTACAAACAATATAAAACTGATAAATCCTTTGTTAGGTAAGAATTAAAATCTAATATAACTACAGATTGAACACTATATATATTAATATATATATACAATATATATATATACACCAGGACAAGTTACGACTTTAATCCGGCAGCCCTCATACACGTCACATCCTGTGACGATTTGGAATCATTTAAATGATTTTGTCAAGCAATCACGAGCAACTGCTTCCCCGCATTCTTAAAAGAAAAACAATTGCCCTTTTGTACGTTCAACATTGTTTCACACAATATGTAATAATTTCCAGGAAATCCCAAAATGACGAATTAGGAAGTTTTTTTAATCGTCAGAGTGGCATGAACCTGCACAGATGTCGAGGAGTTAATATATTAGAATTGAATAAACCGTACACACGTGAGATAGAAAACACTTGATTTGTCTATTTCCTGTATCGAGTACTTAGTTATAGTATTCACGTTATTTCCATACCAATATTCACTCTAGACCGTGAACCATGTATTGGTCGCTACCACGTGTAGACCTCTAAATCCTACCGCTGTTCACTCGGGATTGTACTGTCTATCTGTTGCCCTGTGTGTGAGTTGTGAAGCCTATCCTCGTGTGTCAGTAGCAAACTAACAGCCTCAGCAGCAGCGAGCCCAGTCACACTGCACAGTCCGTACTATAGATCTTTACGGACGCTGAGTATGGGATATTACTAAGATGTATTCAGGTGTGTCCTGGCCCGGTGTTTATCTTTCCCTGATACCTAATATTAGTGTTAGCACTCGAACAATGATAAATGACTTAATTGCATATTTTCGCATCAATTTCTATTTTTGAGAGGTTATCTGGAAATATAACTTCATCCTCAAGTATATAATTGAAAATGAAAAATATATAGGTGAAGTATATATAGCATATCAAAATTGTGTTTCGTTATGATAACATCACACCAGCATTACGAATAATTGTAATAATAGATAAACTGATGATAATGTCTCCGTAGGTAATCTTGGTCAAGAACTTTAACATCAAGTTAAAAGTCCTTAGAAATGTCTCCCGTTAATGACCTTTGAGACAGGTGCCCGTTAACTTTACTATGTTACAAGATTGAGCTCAGATAATCAATTTTCAAAGTAACATTACCTGAACCCATAATGTTAAGATATAGTATCGGGTATATCAAGTTTAAATACTTTAGAATCGATTGTCATTTGACTGAATTAACAACAGTAAAACGCTCCAGTTTCAGAACGAATCTAATCCATTTGTGACCAACTTGACGATTATGTTTTAATGTCACACTGAAATGTCATGAGGAGGTCACATTGACATGGGACGCCGTTCAGTCCATTATACATATATACTGAGACCGGAAAAAGACAGTTATCTTTCCCTGCGCGTCTCGTTTAGTGCTGAGCATCAAATAGAGGGCACGCAATGCAATTTGTAATGATTTCGGTTTGTCCTGAGAATCTACAGACTTCCTTCCTGGTGCAAACTTTTAAGTCGTAAGATTGAAGTAAAACATGGTTTCCGTTGTTTTTTTAATGTACTCGCATAGCTAGTATGTCATGGACACGCTTTCATAGTATTAGACATGCGTAAGTTGTAGATTTGATTCCAGGTGTGATCATTTGTGTCGATATGACAAATATGATAAATATACTTATATGAATTGTATGTATTGAACAAATTGTCAATGTATTACATCCACATTGTTTTATTAGAAATATTCTTCGTTATAACATGTATACAGGATGTAATTGCTTATCCTAAAAACGCACTAACACGGTTCATGATACTGATACGGTTGAATCAATGCGTTCATCAAATACAAAGTTACAAAGTAATCGAATTCCAGTTATTTGATTCGACAAGGCGAATTCCAATTATACTGCATGATTTCATGATTTAATAGAAATCAATGAATAATAATGGTGCAATTCTATGGATTTGTTATGTTTTATGGGTTTTAACGTCTTCAGAACAGCCAGGGTCTTATGGGGTCAGCTGTCGAATAGGGCAACTATAATTTACAGAAAATACAAGCAGGATAGAAATAAACATATTCAAATATCTAATGTTTCATCGAGACCAGCAGATTTATTTTGGTCTCTGAATATCCGCTAGGTAGAAGAAATGGGACACAGTCCCCAAATCTGATAGGTAACAACATTTAGTCCTTTAGTCATTTAGTTCCTACGAAAGTTCATTAAGATACTGATAACCGTATCATTGCCCTCTCCGTTGTCATCTACGAGGGAAGACACTGGAGACCAACATCAATATGTAGAGGTATAATATCATCGACATGTAGAGGTATAATATCATCGACATGTTGAGGTATAATATCATCGACATGTACGTGTTTAATATCATCGACATGTAGAGGTTTCATAGCATCGACATATAGAGGTATGATATCATCGACATGTAGGATTGTAATATCATCGACATGTAGGGATATACTATCATCGACATGTAGGGGTATAATATCATCGACACATAGGGGTATAATATCATCGACATGTAGGGGTATAATATCATCGACATGTAGGGGTATAATATCATCGACATATAGGGGTTTAATATCATCGACATGTAGGGATATACTATCATCGACATGTAGGGGTATAATATCATCGACATATAGGGGTATAATATCATCGACATGTAGAGGTATACTATCATCGACATGTAGAGGTATAATATCATCGACATGTAGGGGTATAATATCATCGACATGTAGGGATATACTATCATCGACATGTAGGGGTATAATATCATCGTCATGTAGGGGTATAATATCATCGACATATAGGGGTATAATATCATCGACATATAGAGGTTTAATATCATCGACACATAGATGTATAATATCATCGACACATAGGGGTATAATATCATCAACATGAAGGGGTATGATATCATCGACATGTAGGGATATACTATCATCGACATGTAGGGGTATAATATCATCGACATGTAGGATTGTAATATCATCGACATGTAGAGGTATAATATCATCGATACATAGGGGTATAATATCATCGACATGTAGGGGTATAATATCATCGACATGTAGGGGTATAATATCATCGACATGTAGGAGTATAATATCATCGACATGTAGAGGTTTAATATCATCGACACATAGGGGTTTAATATCATCGACATGTAGGGATATACTATCATCGACATGTAGGGGTATAATATCATCGACATATAGGGGTATAATATCATCGACATATAGGGTATAATATCATCGACATGTAGAGGTATAATATCATCGACATATAGAGGTTTAATATCATCGACATGAAGGGGTATAATATCAACGACAAGTATTGGGTATAATATCATCGACATGAAGGGGTATAATATCATCGGCACGTAGAGGTATATTATCATCGACATGTATTATCATCGATATGTAGGGGTATAATATCATCGAACTATAGAGTATTATATCATCGACATGTAGAGGTTTAATATCATCGACATGTAGGGGTATAATATCATCGACATGTAGGGGTATACTATCATCGACATATAGGGGTATAATATCATCGACATGTAGTGGTGTAATATCATCGACATGTAGGGATATAATATCATCGACATGTATGGGTTATAATATCATCGACAAATAGAGGTTTAATATCATCGACACATAGATGTATGATATCATCGACATGTAGGGATATACTATCATCGACATATAGAGGTTTAATATCATCGACACATAGATGTATAATATCATCGACATGTAGGGATATACTATCATCGACGTATAGGGGTATAATATCATCGACATGTAGGGGTATAATATCATCGACAAATAGAGGTTTAATATCATCGACACATAGATGTATAATATCATCGACATGTAGAGGTATAATATCATCGACATGTAGATGTATAATATCATCGACACATAGGGGTATAATATCATCGACATGTAGAGGTATAATATCATCAACATGAAGGGGTATGATATCATCGACATGTATGGGGTATAATATCATCGACAAATAGAGGTTTAATATCATCGACACATAGATGTATGATATCATCGACATGTATGGGGTATAATATCATCGACAAATAGAGGTTTAATATCATCGACACATAGATGTATGATATCATCGACATGTAGGGGTATAATATCATCGACATATAGAGGTTTAATATCATCGACACATAGATGTATAATATCATCGACATGTAGGGATATAATATCATCGACATATAGGGGTTTAATATCATCGACACATAGATGTATAATATCATCGACATATAGATGTATGATATCATCGACATGTAGTGGTGTAATATCATCAACATTTAGGGATATACTATCATCGACATGTAGGGATATACTATCATCGACATGTAGGGGTATAATATCATCGACATTGAGGGATATAATCGAAACTAATGATAAACAATGAAATATGTATACATTTCATTATGGTATCGTTTCACTATATATTCATGTAGTCTATCCATACCATGGTAGTCAAGAGAGACCTTTAGTTTGATATACGCGACGAAATGTAGATGATATAATATCGATTGTTCGGGAGTACACCTCATTCGCTCATCTGATGATGTCAACATGTAAACGATATAATATCGATTGTTCGGGAGTACACCTCATTCGCTCATCTGATGATGTCAACTTGTAAACGATATAATATCGATTGTTCGGGAGTACACCTCATTCGCTCATCTGATGATGTCGACATGATCCAATCACTTACCCTAGCCCCTGATCAAACACTTTACCTTAGGTGACAATTAATGTATTATAACGTTCACTGAGGGATTTATACACATTTTGTTCAACATTGATCAATATTTTTCAGAACATAAACATCAAAGGAAAAGACAAATATTTTGAGGGTTTTTTT